CTAAGTCAAAATAGTCAGATTGGGGTAGTAGCTATGCCGAGCTTGAAGCTATGCTTTCGGCTTTTTCTGCCATAGCCGGGCTGTATTTTTGGTTTTTTCTTATTCTCTAGAACGTGCCGTGCAAAATCTTTGAAGAGCTACGGCAATTTCTGAGCACTTTTGTTGCGCGAAAAAACGCGAGAATTCGATAATCAAGGCTATAATACTCAATTTTAAAAGGTCTCGTCGCGAACTACGGTAGCTTATGACATGCTCCTCAAAAATATGGGATACTCTGATTTTGCATGAATACAATGAAATTATGGTTTTTTTTTGCCAAAACGACATAAATTCTCTATAATCAAGTCCAAAACGCGCACTCCTCACAACTTCCGTTTGTTGTCAAATCAAGTGGGCCTAGGGGCCCAATTTAGGGTACAAATTGCCGGCGTTGCGCAATGCAGGCCGGCTGTGGCCCACCGCAGGAGATTTGTGCCCCATTGGCCCATCCCCTTCAAAACCCTCCCCCGCCCCTCCCTGGTGTGTTCATTGTTTTTCCGGTGATCGTTGCAACCTCGGATAATTGGTTTTCTTTTTCTTGTATGTGTATCTGTCCGTCTCGATAGATCTGTCTGTCTGTGACCACATCGGTTCCGCCCTCAATTATCGCTATCTGCCAAAAGTTTTGCACCTGGCGCCGGTACCGTTTTTTGGGGAAGAAGATGTTTGAATGGAGCGTCCATTAAACGTTTCTCGGTGATCAGGAAATTTAGAAGAGTATTGAAGCTAAGTGTGGAACAATTTTACATGTAATAGCGTATAGAAGCGTACTATAATCCTGAGCAAGGGGCTGTGTGTACCACTACAAACAGTGCACAATGCATACTACGTAAGCCTACGGAAGCGCACAGCGTTGTACTCAAACGTACGGTAGCTGCCGGTGCCGATTTTGGCGGGCAGTTGCGGAGGTCCTGGGGTGAGGGGGCTGACTCTTGCAAACGCCGCGTTTTTTTGAAGGTACTTATTACCCAATGTAGCGGGCAGTAGCGCACTATCGATATTCGTAGCGTAAGTATGAGCAACGTAAGTATACATGGGTCGACGCTTGCATGCGCCGCATAAGCGTGGCTGGCCACGCTCTTCCGGAGCGTGGAGGACCACGCTCATGCGGCGCTTTATGCGTCCTTTTTCACGCGCGCGATTTAACTCCAGATGCAAATCGAAAATTTTAAGGACATATATTTATGATTTCGATTTGCAAAAATGAAATGCCGATACATAACTATCAGGGTCATCTTTAAATTTTGATAAATAAACAAGATAGATCGTGTTTCAACTTCTTGTTAGTTAAATTCTCGAAAACGGATCGATTTTTGCTTTCATGTCCCTTGGAAAACTTTGATTTTGCATTTTTAGAAACTTTGCATAAGCATTTCCGGAGCGTGGCGGGCGACGCTCATTTCGGCGTGGTTTATTAAGAGGCACGCGCGCCAGCGTGGCTCTCCACGCTCCGGAAGAGCGTGGCCGGCCACGCTTATGCGGCGCATGCAAGCGTCGACCCATGTATAAACGTAAGGCCCTCCAGCGTAGTGAAACGTGCTGTCGCGTACTGTGGTGTACTCTGTCGGGCTGATGCGTGTTGTGGTGTGCGGCAGCCTGCGGCAGTGCGTACTTAGGCCACTGTAGCGTCGAGTAGCGTACTGCCGTCCATTGTAGTGTGCGCTCCGAAGCGTACTGAAGCGTACATACGTGTGTTGCCGCGTACTGAAGGGGATTGTTAGGTACTTCCGCGTGCAAACGTGCATTGTAGCTCGTAAGCTGCTGCTAAATACGTCCTTTGTGGCAAGGTAGCTTGTTCTATCGCACCGTAGCGTCCCGTAGTTGGTCTGTAACAAAGCCGCAAGATTCGAACGCCCCTCGTCAATTTCGACGTGCTACTTCCAATCCCCCGATCTTCCACGGAACTACACATTTTCGAGCGCACATCAGCGTGCCATTAAGTTCAGCTGGGCCAGCTGGATCAAGGCTTCGTGAAAAACACGATATCACCTGTTTTCCGGAGGGCTCCAGCCCCACGTCAATGGGTTTCACCGCGTACACCTGCCGCCTGAAAACCTCCCGGGGCCCTCGATCAACTTTTTCACCTCAAAAAATGCTTGTAATGACCGATAATTATTCAATTAGAAGGCTCGGGGGTCACCAGAAAAAAACTGGCCGAAAATTGTCAGGTGAAACATTGCGGGGAAATCAGGATTTCAGGCGAAAACCCATGTGATTTGGAGCGGAGCGTAATTTCACGGCATGTGTTTTTTAATTGAGAATTGAGAGGTTGAGGAAGTTGTGGTATGAATAATAAATTTCAGGCGGTTGATTTCTGCAGACCGCCTTCCTTGTCTGGCCGCTTCAAAAAGCAGTTCCGGGTTTTGGAAAAAAAGCTGGGCACCCGATTTTACGGACTTTTATTATTCATAAAATCTTGAAGGATAAAGGCCCGTAAACTACACCTGAAAATTCGTAGGATTTTAAAGGCGCGGGAGAGTGACGGAATCGACCCTAGTATAGGCTAGGTCTTGTCAGCTCCAAATTACACCCGCAAGCGCACGTCGATTTTACATTTTGGGCACTGCTTACATTAGTCGCTTGTGAGAAAAAGTCGTGAGGGCGAGAGAGAGAGGGAGAGAGAGAGCGAGATAGAGCGAGAGAGAGCCAAAGAGAAAGAGAGCGAGCGAGTGAGAGAAAGCGAGAAAGAGTGTGTATGAGAGAGAATGGAAGAAGAATAGAGAATAGACTCAAACGTCTGAACTTAAAAATTTGGCTAACCTGCAATATCGATAAGCCACGTATAAAAGGGTAGTAAGGACGATATTCAATCTGTTGTTCTGATGCCCTCTTCCTCCTCTTACTCCTCGTCTTCGTCCTCATGGCTCATCAGAAATTCAGGTGCAGCTGGAGGCAAGGCAGCGGGAAGGGGAGGAGAAGGAGTCCGATTACGAGATTGGGATTAGAGGCTCCCGGGTAGCAGCTAGATATCTAGCCGGAAGGGGGCACACAATAGGCAACAGGTGAGCTGCATGTCCAACCATCAGAGTGGAATAGGAGGGGAGGAATTTGAATTCGAGGTAGTTTCATAAATTCAGCTAAGTTTTTAAGGCATAGATAAATTTTGGATCTACGGAGTTGGAAGGACTCAAAAAATTCTACACCTACAGTAACCGCTGAAAATCAGGACCAGCTTAAAAAATTAAATTACATTGCATAAAGCTGAGGGGAATTTTAGCCTTAAAAATCTGAATAGCTGGAATTTTGTAACCTACGGAAGATCTGTCTAGGAAAACCTGAATGATCTACATGAAAGAATTGCTAAGGATATCAACAAGCCTTTTTAAGCCGTGCAAATTACCAAATTACCAGGACGTAGATTTAGGCCCCTTGAAGCGTCCTTTAAACGGTTTGTGATGACCCTTGAGGGCGCAGCTAACCAGCCAACCAGCCACCTGGTTGACCTTATGAAGAGCATGGAGAGGGAGGAGGATTATACTGGAGTGTACTGGAGGATTAGAGCCGCAAATTATCGTCGATGCAGGCGGCATCCTGATTTCATCCCGTAAAATTGACACCAGCAGGTGATTGGTCGGTATTTGATGTGTACCGATCGTAAAGCTGACTTCAAAAATCGGTGAGTTAAAGGGCACGTTCAAGGAGGTTTTTTTGGAAAAAAGCAAGATTTTCGCCGCGTCCGGGGGTCGAACCCGGGCCCCCCACTCGGGAGGCGCGGATGGATACCAGTCAGCCACAGATACAACCTGCCGAGGGGGCGAGGGGCGCCCCACGCCGCAAAGGAGGGGAATGGCCTCTCACAGCACGGGCAGGCAGTGCGCGCGGTCCCTACGTCCATAGGGTGTATACGTTGGGACGAGTATACGGCCCCTCCCTGAACGTGCGCTTTAAGCCGATAATATCCCAACAAAAGTCAAGGTATATTGGTAATACGAATGAGAAGGTAACTGTCGGTTACTTCGAGAAGAAAATTCTAAAATTCTGAAGCGAAAGCTTTACTTGAAGCCCTCCCCAGAAACAAACAAAACGCTATGGCACACAGCTTGAAAGTTGTCCATTTGGGGTTGTCGTGGCGGAGGGTGGATTGTTCGAAGCGGATCGTCGCGTAGGGATTACCCGGCTCCATTGAAAAACTCTTTTAACCCCCCCCGCGCGCGCAAACTCGGGTCAAAACCCCGGGCCGCGCGCCCAGCTTTAAACGGCCCAAATCCGCGGGGGTCGGCCAACGGATTACACCTATAGCTGTGCACTCGGCGACCCGTTTCAAGGGGGGGGGGAGGGAAGCTAAAGGTTAGAAGTGGCAGGGTACTTGTATTTTTGTAGTGTTTCAGCAGTCTGTTTTTTTGGTTATTTTCTTTTGGCCTTCCCGAATCACTTTAAAGGAACGTGTAAGGCATCAGGATGCATTTTTTGGCTCCTGAGCTCTGGCTTTGGTCTCTTGATTTTGCCGCGCGCTATACGCGACGTGCACGTCTGCTTCTAACTTGCGTAGTCGCTTACGTGGAATTTATGGCGACCAAACGGTGCGCATTACGTACCGCGCATTGATAAAAATTGTAGAAATCCCTGCGCTAAATTTCTCTCTGGGTTTTGCTGTGATCGCGCGACGCAACGCGCACGCACGCTTTTCCCAGCCGTAGGAGTTTACGACCCTTTTCTGCGTACCTATCAGCCGCAATGCGCGCGCGTTACGTATGGCGACGCAAAAAAACTCATACGAAAGCCAGGCTAACAAGGGAAGTGCACGACCGGCCCACGAGCAGAAACGCAAGAAAGCTGAAGAGTTCGTGAACAGCATAAGAGACAGGATCGCAAACGGGCTGCCACTTGATCGGCTCGCCAATGCCGATCAAAGCTGTTTCAATAAGGAGATGTATACAGATCGGACTTTGTCGCTTATTGGAGAGAAAAAAACGATACGAAAAGTCCAGGCGTCAGCTTCTTTGACACATTCCTTCACCATAATGCCTACAATATATGCCAGCGGGACCCTCGCCAAGAAGTTATACATCAACCTCCAGGAGCCGACTGGCCGCTTTCCGGCCGCAGGACATTTTCAGGCCGATAATCTCGTCGTACGATGTGGAAAGACCCATATCATGTCGAAGGCATCAATGGTCGAGTGGGTCAAGGAATGCGTTGCCGATCCAAATAATCCGGAAATTGACGTTTTTCTCCTCGATCATTGGACTGGATTTCTCGATCATGAATTATTCAATTCCGCTCTACCGGACGGCGTAGAAATCGAGATCATCAATATACCTGCCGGCACGACTGGTATCGTACAGCCTTTGGATTTGTACTTCTTCTGCCCGGTCAAGGCCATGATTAAGCGGATCCATGCATACGTGATAACACAATCCATCGACTTCACCATTTTCAAAAGAGACCATATCCTGATGGTGATCTCACAAGTCTATTGGACAATCTGCTCGCCTGTCTTCACGGAATTCCTGAAATATTGCTGGTTCCGCGGAGGCTATCTCGACACTCATCCGCTGCCCTTCGAGACTCCAAATCAGTTCTCATTGAACCCGGCCAACTGCAGCATAGGATGCAAAACTTGCGGAGAAGACGGACTTATAAAATGTGCATATTGTTATGAAGTAATTTGTTTTGATTGTTTTTTTGTTAAACTGCATCGTTGTGCTTGAACTCCTAGTTTTTGCTGTGATTCTTGTTTGAAATGTTAGAAAAAAAACAAAAAGATATTTTAAACGTTTTATTAATTATTCCATGGGTTTATCAAGAATCCAAACGGCATTCAGGCAAAAAAGCAAAAACCTGTGCCGCGGACGGGAACGAACCAGGGACCCCCGTTTAGTAGGCGCGGCTCCTTACCACTAGGCCACCTGACCGCTGCGATTGGGGTTTCGGGGCGGTCTGAAAATCCATCGGGGGCCAGACGCTGTTTTCGCCCGAAAAATGACGGAAATGACTAGAAATTCTCGAAAAACTTTGAAGCTTCATAACTTTTTTCTCCGTTTTATTTAGCAAATTCTGATTACAGATTCGGAATCCCCGTGTCCAACTCTATCAGATCCACTATGTTTCGTGTCGATTTGCCGTGGGCCGGTCGTGCACTTCCCTTGTAAGATGAATTTAGCATGGTTTTTACCACGCCCGCGACACGCAGCGCGTCCTTTCCATTGGCAAAAATCTTGGTGCATCACGCGACGCAAGCGGGAGGGGGACGCGTTGCGTATCGCAGGTTCGACAAATCCTTTGGAAATCCATTGTCACGAAATCCATGGTCATGTACAATAACAAGCGAACAAACCCTTCAATTACGATAAGTTCCTCTATCTAAAATTGGTAAATTTATTCGTAGTTTCTTTTTTAATTTTTTGGCGACTCAATCCACGGCTTCATTGTGAGAAGAGCTCGTCCTGAATATCCAAAAATCTTGGCTTGCGTTTTCAGGTTCACCTCAACCTGATGGACGACCAATTTCGGGATCCGCGGCGCCACCGCCGATTTGTCACCAATTTTCTGCAAGCAGCAAAGATGTATTGGCGGAAAGATGACACTCACCTGCGTTAGATTACCCGCTTCAACATCCCCGTCACTGCGTCGCGCCACTGTCTGAAAAGGCGTATCAATGAAATCAAACTTTATTGAAGTTGGATCATAACGACATTATGTGTTAATTGACCAGGGCGGATGCGTCGCGTGTCGCGGGCGCGGAAAGACAAGTTCGTTAGCTAGTAAGCCATGGAAGTAAATTTTCCGAACTACTAACAATAATAAAAAATACCTGATTAGGAGAGTAGTAGCCACTTGAAGACGTGTTTTGGCCCTCATCTAGATCTTGGTGAGGACCTGGGTGTTCTTCGGATAGCAGGGCCTAGAAATCCCTATTTATTTTCTTATAAAACATAGTCAGAAAATCTAGAAAATGCCAGGCCTAATTATTAAGACTGGCTGCTAAAACAAGACAGTACAGTACAAAATACACCAACTTACCGTGCCCATCGTCGAGTCGTCTCCTCGAGATTGCGCGGATTTTCTAAATAAATTGATGAAGCTTTGAAACCACTATTTTTTTTACCTTTTTGACTTCTTTTTCCGGAATCGACTTTCCGCCACATCCCTTGGCTCAACCCCGAGTAGCTCCCGGCGTTGCGTTCGCATTTTCTCGCGGCGACTTTCTAAAAAAGTTAATGAACCGAACCCTATGCTGTTTTTCGGGGTTGGCTTCAACAAAAAACCGGGGATGGTTTATGCGATTATCAGGATTATATGGCTTACTTTTATTTATTCTGATGTAGCCTGGAAATACAAAATAAACAGTTTTAGAAGCTTCGGTTTCACCAGCCTAACACGCTTCTCTGGATTAAATAGCGTTGAAAATTACACTGGTTAGACGATTTGAACAGTTCAAGCGACTTTCATCTGACCTTTTTGGCTTTATAAACCTCCAAATTCTCACCTCGCGTCTGCCCAAAATGTTTTGTCGTAAAGTTGCGTAGAGGGTCGAGCTTGTAGCCGTATCTGCAATTGGAATTTTCCTCTATCAACTATAATAAAAAAGTAGTGGTGTCTGTCTGTCTGTCTGTCTGTCTGTCCGTCATGTCCCGAATTCAACTCGAAGGGGAAAGGAGCTAGAGCTTAGCTCTCTTCGGATTCGGATAGAGCATGGTCAGAAACCCCCAAACTGATAAAAAAATTATGAAAAAGTTTTAATTTAAATTATTAAAATTAACTTTGAAAGTTTTTTCCTTAGTAATAGGGGTGGGGGACGGAGGTTGGGGTGATTTTGGAGATAGTGAGCCAGGTCGCGCGCGTTTCGTGGATGAAAATTTTCACGGGGGATTTCATTTCTTTTTTTCTCTCATTCCATCCGGTCGGTCGTTATTTTTGTTTTTTAAGGGGATTTCGGGCTAGGGGAGGTATTTTAAACCATCAGGAAGGTATTTAGGTAGTTTTTGAAGGGGATTTCAGCCATGCGGGTATCTGAAGCTATCGGGAAGGTATTTAGGTAATTTTTGAAGGGGATTTCAGCCATGGGGGGTATCTGAAGCCATCAGGAAGGTATTTAGGTAGTTTTTGAAGGGGATTTCAGCCATGGGGGGTATCTGAAGCCATCAGGAAGGTATTTAGGTCGTTTTTGAAGGGGATTTCAGCCATGGGGGGTATCTGAAGCCATCAGGAAGGTATTTAGGTAATTTTTGAAGGGGATTTCAGCCATGGGGGGTATCTGAAGCCATCAGGAAGGTATTTAGGTAGTTTTTGAAGGGGATTTCAGCCATGGGGGGTATCTGAAGCCATCAGGAAGGTATTTAGGTCGTTTTTGAAGGGGATTTCAGCCATGGGGGGTATCTGAAGCCATCAGGAAGGTATTTAGGTCGTTTTTGAAGGGGATTTCAGCCATGCGGGTATCTGAAGCTATCGGGAAGGTATTTAGGTAATTTTTGAAGGGGATTTCAGCCATGGGGGGTATCTGAAGCCATCAGGAAGGTATTTAGGTCGTTTTTGAAGGGATTTCAGCCATGGGGGGTATCTGAAGCCATCAGGAAGGTATTTAGGTCGTTTTTGAAGGGGATTTCAGCCATGCGGGTATCTGAAGCTATCGGGAAGGTATTTAGGTAATTTTTGAAGGGCATTTCAGCCATGGGGGGTATCTGAAGCCATCAGGAAGGTATTTAGGTAGTTTTTGAAGGGGATTTCAGCCATGGGGGGTATCTGTAGCTATCGGGAAGGTATTTAGGTAGTTTTTGAAGGGGATTTCAGCCATGGGGGGTATCTGAAGCCATCAGGAAGGTATTTAGGTAATTTTTGAAGGGGATTTCAGCCATGGGGGGTATCTGAAGCCATCAGGAAGGTATTTAGGTAATTTTGAAGGGGATTTCAGCCATGGGGGGTATCTGAAGCCATCAGGAAGGTATTTAGGTCGTTTTTGAAGGGGATTTCAGCCATGCGGGTATCTGAAGCTATCGGGAAGGTATTTAGGTAATTTTTGCAGGGGATTTCAGCCATGGGGGGTATCTGAAGCCATCAGGAAGGTATTTAGGTAGTTTTTGAAGGGGATTTCAGCCATGGGGGTATCTGTAGCTATCGGGAAGGTATTTAGGTAGTTTTGAAGGGGATTTCAGCCATGGGGGTATCTGAAGCCATCAGGAAGGTATTTAGGTAGTTTTTGAAGGGGATTTCAGCCATGGGGGGTATCTGTAGCTATCGGGAAGGTATTTAGGTAGTTTTTGAAGGGGATTTCAGCCATGGGGGGTATCTGAAGCCATCTGGAAGGTATTTAGGTAATTTTTGAAGGGGATTTCAGCCATGGGGAGTATCTGAAGCCATCAGGAAGGTATTTAGGTAATTTTTGAAGGGGATTTCAGCCATGGGGGGTATCTGAAGCCATCAGGAAGGTATTTAGGTAGTTTTTGAAGGGATTTCGGCTATGGGGCGTATTTGGAGCCATCAGGAGTTTTCTAAGTAGTGTTTTAACGGGGTTTCGGCTATGGGGGTATCTAAAGCCATCAGCACGGATATTGATAAAGTTAGGGAAGGAATGTGGTGGTGTAGAATATGGAAGGTAGCCCGAAGGCCAGCCGATTACAGCCGCGACGCGGCTGTAATCGGCTGGT